CACAAAACATAGCTCGTCGGGGCAGTCGGTGGTTAGCCATACGCAACACATGTCCCAACCACCTCAACTGATGAAGTTTCACCACTTCATCTATTGATCTGCCATCCTTACCTAGTACTCGTTTCCTAACGACAGCATTGCTTACTCGGTTGTCCCACGATATACGAGCAATGCTTCTTAAACATCTATGATCGAATACTAGTAACCTACGAACATCTTCTACTCTTAACGGCCATGTTTCACAGCCACATAAGAGAACGGAACCAACTGCTGCGCAGTACACTCGTCCTTTGGTTAGCGAACGGATATCACGCCTACGCCATAAGTGACGCAGGTTGGCAAAAGCCAATCGAGCCTTCTGTATCCGAGCTGAGATTTCGTCAGTCACCAGACCGTCAGAACTGATGAGACTCCCCAGATAAGTGAAGCGATCAACATGCTCGACTACTTCACTCCCTATCACTAGTTCAGGTGCCAATGCAACCCAGTCTTGAAGCAACATTTTGCTTTTCGAGGGGGAAAACCGCATCCCGAACATGCTCGCATTGTTGCTTATGGTAGTCAGAAGACTCTGCATTTTGTCAGCGTCTTCACCGAATAGAACTAGGTCATCGGCATATTCTAGATCAGTAAGCGACTTTCCTGGTAGAAGGTCAACCCCTAAAAAATCTGACGAGCTTAATGTTAACTCTAAGAGGATGTCTACGACAAAGTTAAACAAGAATGGAGAGAGTGGACAGCCCTGACGGACACCACTTGAAGTAGAGAATTCAGATGACAGTTCGCCATATGCTCTCACCCGACCAGTGGTGTTCGAGTAGAGTGCTTGTATAAGGTTAATGTACTTCTTTGGTACACCTTTCAATGACAGACACTGCCACAGAACCTCACGATCCACTGAGTCGAATGCCGCCTTAAGGTCCAGGAACACGACTATTGTCGGACGTCTAAATGTGTGTCTGTGTTCCAGGACCTGTCGTAGTGTGAAGATGTGGTCTATACAACCACGTCCAGGTCGAAAACCAGCCTGGTTTTCTCGAGTCTGCTCTTCACGAGCTCTAGTTAGACGTCTAAATATAATCGAGGCTAACAATTTAGAAACTATATTAGTTAAACTTATTCCCCTGTGATTGTCACAAGAGGACTTCTGTCCTTTCTTGTAGATTGGGACAATTAGCGACTGAGACCAGTCAGATGGGATTACGTCCATTTCCCAGATTCTACCTAGGATCTCGGTCAGTCTAACCGTTAAAACTGGACCATCATCCTTAAACATCTCAGGGGTAAGCCTATCGGGACCTGCCGCTCTACCTCCCCTTAGATTTCCTATAGCTTTCTGAACTTCATGTAAACTGGGAGGACTTAAATCGATTTGCCATTCAGGATGACTGGGGATCGTGGGCAACCGAAGTGTGGCTGAAGGCCAGTTGAACTGATCCCTAAAGTGTTCTGCCCATCGGTCCAGCCTCCTAGATTGAGAATGGATAATAAGACCATCCTTTTCCGAGATAATCTCACTCACATTCGGGTTCCTAATACCGGTTTCTTTAATAAGGCGGAAAAGTTGTCTAGTGTTGCCTATTGCCGCTGCCTTTTCCATCGCTTTTGCTTTCGCCACCCACCACTGTTCACGGTCGTTACGTAGGCTTTTTATAAGTCTGCGCCTAAGCTGACTACGCTCTTCATCATGTTCAGAGTCAGGTGGGATGCGTTTTCGAGCATCCATCAGTTCGGTGGATGCGACTGAAATCCACTGCTTCATCCTAGCCTTGTGGTTTACCTTGCTAGCAGATACCATTGCTGTTTCCACAGCCTTTTTGATATGATTCCAACCTGCCTCCGGATGAGAATCACTTGCATGGCCGCCTAACTGTTTTTCTAGTTCCTCCTGAAATATTTTCTTAGCTTGATTATCATCAAGTAAAGCCCTAAGAGGCTTGCTTACGGTGTCTTTCCTACGTCCAGCAAGCCTCAAACAAATACGTGCTCGCACTAGGGCATGATCTGAATCTAAACATGTGCCCCAGAACGAGCGACAGTCCCCTATCGAACCCCTCCATCGGTGGCTGATGGCGATATGATCTAGTTGAGTCCAACGTTGAGACGACTTCGGGGGTCGCCAGGTCAAAAGGTGTTTTGCTTTATGCTTAAAATTAGTGTTTGCTAGAAATAGTTGGTTATCTGAGCACAGTTGCAACAGACGGTCGCCATTGTCTGTTCTTTGAGCCGCGAGACCGTAAAATCCACCTAGGTGTCTTTCATTTTCACTTAGTCTACCTACTTGTGCATTGAAGTCACCAGCCGTTATAAATATATCAGAGCGCTTAACTTTTTGGAGGAGGTCCGAAAGCTTTCTGTAAAACTCATCTTTTACATCATCTGGGCTGCAGTCAGTGGGGGCGTAGGCTGATATGACGAAGAGGCAACGGCGAGTGTCTTTATCTTTCCGAGTCCTTACTGTCCCATTCAGTCGGACGGCGCACAAGCGACTATCTATTGGGATCCAGTCAATGAGAGATTGTTCTGCCCTACGACTCAATGCTATACCTACACCGGCGAGGCCCCTAGAAGCAGCATCAGGGCTACCGGATACACGAAGGGTAAATCGAGCTGCTTCTTTATCTTGACATGGTGAGGTCAAATGAGTGATGCTACTCGGATCCTGTATGCGCGTTTCCGAGACGCAGCACACATCGATGGAACGAGATTCTAAGGTCCTAGCTAATGATGCCTGTTGCCCTATTTGACACAATGTCCGTACATTGAATGCTCCAACATGTAGTTTGGAACGGGGTTTAAGGAGACCAGGAACGACGTTTCGCAAACTCGCATCGTTTGCATTAGCTGTGCACTGTAATAAATGAATGTGAGAAGAGTTAGTTGTGGAGATAAGAGAGGTATTAGGGAATTTAGGAAGGATTTGATTTTGAACAATTTGGTCTCGTGTGCTGTTGCGGGAATGAGGGCGGTTATCACTTCCCGGCTGCCCACAGCGTGGAAGGTTGTTTCTTGAGGAACCTGAAAAGGAAGATAGATTAGTGTTGGTGCGTGACCGCAGAGTCCAAGGGACAACTGCTTGAGGCCGGTCACGCACGGCCTTTTTATGAGAGGTATTTAGAGGATTAGCTCCGTTCTTAAAGGCCCTTAGTGGGCACCCTTACCCAAGGAGACGGAAATCCGTGAGGTAGGGGAGGTGTGACATTTTTAGAGTCGAGCTTTTCTAACCCTTCCTTCCTTGTGAGAAGGCAGTATCGCTGCAGATGCTGGTTGCCCAAGGGAAACACCTTACTGCTGTCACACCCCTCTGCAGTCAGCAGTACGACTTCGCCCTCAGACCTTGGGTAGCTGCTTTTAGTCTCATCGTTCTCCAATCGACCTGCCTGGCATGGTAGGACCTGCAGGAACATGTGTTCCAGCCAGTATAGCTCGGTTGGGTCATGACGATAGGCAAGCCCGACCACCACGTCAAGGTAGCAGCTTCGGTCGAGACCGAGTAAAGTGAACTCGTCATAGTTTCAAGAATAACAAATTGAAAATATGTTCATAACCTGAATCGATGAGTTCTAGTTAACTTTGATTTTGAAGTTAGTTTGAATTAAAAAATTGTTAAGAAAAATCTCATTGAAGTAAATTGCCAAACAATGTCAAATTGGCTGGATTTGTGTATGAACACTGAATAACACATTAAATCTATATTACACGTGGACACTTGCATCAGCGAACATGAAAACAGAAATGTTACGTACTCATGCACGTAAACATGTCATTGGATATGCTTGGATTATTACGAGTGTTTAGCTTAGTTGAAAAACGAGAGGGAGGATCGAGGATCCAGCGACATGACATGCTACTCTAATCCGATTTTCTCGACACTCCCCTCGGTGAGTAAAAGAAGAAGACTTGATATGAAGTAGAACCTGTATTCTACAAGCATCCAGAAAAGTACGAGTTCCGAGTCGAGAAGAGAATCAGGATCCCAGACTAGGGATCCGGGTCCGGGTCATAAAATGTTACAGATAATGCGTATTTATACAGTTAGGTTGAATAGGAAACAGTATCGAAGTCTGTGACAATGACAGTTAAGACAACCAATAGGAAACAACATTTGAAGTGACACTGATAGTCAGGACAACCAATGGGAAACAACACTGACGTATATGACATTGATAGCTAGGACGACCATAATATTGACAGGTAGGAATTAACCAATAGAATTAGACTTACAAAAATAATTCTTTTAGGATATTTGATGAATATTCTAACAAGAAAACTAAAGAGATATGAGTGCAATCGATCATTTTAAGATTATAAAGTATAATTCATACACAGCACAAGTGATGGTTAACTAGGTCTTGGGAATATTTTCGAATAGCTGTCAAATATACTAGTGATTTTCTGTGATAAATCTTTGTTACACATTTTTGAAACCATGAATCGATCAATGTTAGACCACCATTAGGAACCTGGAAGCACTGGACGGCCATTTCGTGCTGGTATGGGACTCATCAGAAGTGCGCACCCACGACTCCTGCACTCCACAGGATTCTAACCCAGGACCTTTGGTATTGTGGGCGAACGCCTAACCATCGGACCACTGAGCCGGTATTTAACGGTGTTAATGTCTAATTTGATCAATTCACGCAGTTGCGCAACCTCATACACAGTCTTCGGTAGTAGTTACTGTATACACCCGAACACGACTGAACTTCACTGGTCACAACTTCCTACTAGAACTCGGAGAAGATTCCTCACGAAGAAGCTAGTCACTAATGAGCACAGGTAATTTGCATTACGGGGTTGTTGTGAAGATTGTTAAGTTACACATTTTTTTTGAAACCATGAATCAATCAATGTTAGACCATCATTAGATGGATGCGCACTGTTACTGATGAGTCCCATATCAGGACGAAACGGCCGTCCAGTGCTTCCAGGTTTCTAATGGTTGCTTTTTGGTCATAATACACTTTAAAATGTCAATATTTATACAAAAAAAAATAAAATTAATTTAAACAATTTAGAAAATCATCATCCTCCTCATCATGATCATCAGTTAAATGAAAAAAAAACAAAAACGAACTACTTACAATAGACGCTGACCATGGTATAGCATTTGTATAACCACTTCGAGCATGTAAACTTTCCCAATTGCCAAGATGCATAGAACTACGATGCAATAGATCAATATAATCACATGGTAGAAAATAATGCCAACGTAATAGAAAAACTAATAGACCAGTTATGCAACAATGTTGAAGACACCACCAATAATCAATATGTAGATGTTCATTCTGGAATATGACAATATTAATAATAATAATAATAATAATAATAACAATAATGATAATGTGTTAAGATAAGATTCGTAAAAGTCTATTAGAGATAAACACCATTACTTACTTACTTACGCCTGTTACCCCCAATGGAGCATAGGCCGCTCACCAGTTTTCTCCAACCAACTCTGTCCTAGGCTTCCCTCTCCAGTTCTGTCCAAAATTTGTTCATTCTTCTCATATCTTTCTCTATTTCTCGGCGTAATGTGTTCCTTGGCCTTCCTCTTTTCCTTTTGCCTTCAGGGTTCAATGTGAGGGCTTGTCTCGTGACGCAGTTCGGTGCTTTCCGCAATGTGTGTCCTATCCACTTCCATCGCTTCTTCCTGATTTCCTCCTCCACTGGAATCTGGTTTGTTCTCTCCCACATTAAGTTGTTGCTGATAGTGTCTGGCCAACGAATCCTCAGTATTTTGCGTAGACAACTGTTAATAAACACTTGTATCTTCTGGATGATGTCTTTGGTAGTTCTCCAAGTTTCCGCTCCATACAGTAGAACTGTCTTGACATTTGTATTGAAAATCCTGATTTTGGTTTTGGTTGAAAGTTGTTTGGAGTTCCAGATATTTTTCAACTGTAGGAATGCAGCCCTCGCTTTGCCAGTCCGCGCCCTCACATCTGCATCGGATCCACCTTTCTCGTCGATGATGCTGCCCAGATATGTAAAGTTGTTAACGTCCTCGAAAGCATCTCCATCAAGAGTTATTTGGTTGGTGCATGTTGTGTTGCATCGGAGAATTTTGCTTTTTCCTTTATGTATGTTGAGACCTACTGCTGCAGAGTCTGCTGCTACACTGGTCGTCTTCTCTTGCATTTGTTGTTGAGTGTGCGATAGAAGAGCCAGGTCATCTGCGAAGTCCAGATCGTCCAGCTGCGTCCTAACTGTCCAGTTGATACCTTGCTTCTCTCCAGATGTTAACGTCTTCATAAACACCATACTGAATACAATTCCATCCGTCTCCGAATACTGTATTTATAGACCGACGACTAATGTGTATCTTGACAAAAAGGATGCATGCATTTTGCATCCAATAGGATAAAACGATAGTCCTGAGTCAGTCAGTCAGTCAGTTGCAACGTAGAACTTCGTACGTATGTACATCAGTTCAGCTTGTCATACCACATTAGCACAGAGACGCAAATGGCAATTCAAATCCCATAGCGGTAGAGATAGTAGGAGTATTCCTGGTAACAGAGAGGATTAAGGTTCCAAGATATTATTCAAGGAGTATAATTCAATGAGATAGGTGTGGAAAGACAAAAGTAGAGGTATTGACGAATCGAGAAGACGAGTATTTGAGAAAACACGATGAATGGATGCACCTGTGCCATTGCAAACGATTTTGAGCCATAGCATTCAAGGTCTCCAACCATCGATGACTTTTGTCTCGCGGACCCCAACCAGCTAGCCTACATCCACCAACATTACTAAGTTCGCTTATTGGCGATTTCATGGGTTTCTGCAATGTTTTGCTTTGGCCGCCCCTAACTTTCTTCCAACCTACTCCCCTAAAACACAAAACATAGCTCGTCGAGGCAGTCGGTGGTTGCGCATTCGTAACACATGTCCCAACC